ATAAGAGGGTTGATGGAAGTTAAGGGTTAAGTCAACTTAGAGAGATAGATTAAGGTTAAGGGATAGGTATAGATAAGTTAATAGATTAAGGTTAAGGGATAGATATAGATAAGTTAATAGATTAAGGTTAAGGGGTTAGATGTGCAGAATCACAGAGACCCAATTATGGTAATCGGGATATCGATTTAATAGATATTATGTAGCAAGTACGTAGGATATCTTAGGTCAGGATTCGACTATTACCTGTCGCGATTCGGCCAGGAGCAGTTTCCAAGTGAAGTGTTGTGGTTTCAGATAGAACTCGACCTGCTCTATCGAATGTACGTCTCAGGGTTTTCAAATATTGCTTTCTTTCACCTAAATCAGGCCTAAAATCTGCATTTAGCAGAAGCTTTTAGCAAAAACCGTCGCGATTCGGCCAGGAGAAGTTTCCAAGTGTAGTACTGCGGTTCCAGATAGAACTCAACGTTCTCTATCGAATGTACGTCTCGGTTTTTTCATATATTGCTTCCTTCGACCTAAATCAGACCTAAAACCTTACTTTAGCATATGGTTTTAGTTAGACGATATATCTTTTCCCAGTTCTGATTGCATTAAAAGAGATATATAAGTGCCATTTAATAAATTTATTGAACTAATATTATATTTAAAAAATACAGAAAAGTGGCAAGTACTATCTCACATGTTAAAAAACAACAAATTTCACGCAATACAGAAAAAAACAAAAACAAAACAGTTCTGGTATGAGCTATAATGAATTGAAAGATGAAAATTAAACAAATTTTTCTTTGTTTTTACCTGTACGATGAATTCCTATGACTGATAAATAAATACTTATATCTAAAAGACGAAAAAAATTAGATTAAATGTTTCCTTGGATTTAATCTATAAATATAAAGAATAAATAAATAATTGTATATTCTACACTATTGAATTTTAACAATACAACTTAACATTTAAAATACCTTGTGAAGTAAAATTTAGATGAGCAAATGAATTTTCTATGTTGATGAAACAGTAATTCAGACTTCTGATCCACATAGTAGCAGTGTTTTCGAATAAAAATTATCCCAGAAGATAGTGCTTTTCGAGATGTATTTGGAAACTGCACTTGCCAATTCGAAACTATTCCTGGCCATATCGGGACTGCTTTTCCTAAAACCATCTGCAAAATGCAGGTTCTAGGCGTGATTTAGGCCAAAGGAAGCAATATATGAAACAACTGAGACGTGCATTCGATAGAGCACGTTGAGTTCTATCTGGAACCGCAGTGCTGCACTTGGAAACTTCTCCTGGCCGAATCGCGACAGGTTCTACGATTGTTTATTGCATTTTGCACGTGTTTTTTGCAGTAATTCAGGTTTTCTGGCTGAATAGAAGGGGATTTTCGAAAAACTAATCTTTTAAATCTGATAGAGCTTCTCAAGGTGTAATTGGAAGCAACGTGTGGCAATTGGAAACATTTCCTGGCCGAATCGTGACAGGTAATAGTCGAATCCTGACCTAAGATATCCTACGTGTAGCAAGTGCCGAATAAGAAGTTTTCAACGCATTATATGCATTAAATAGGTTGCATTATCATGCAATTGCATACATTACATTCCTATAGTAAAATAATGCATTGCAATGTCCATTATTTCCTAAAATCGGCTACATGGGTTATATTTGTTTAATTTTAGTCTCACAAGAATTGCAGGAGAACTAAACAGAAAATCCTATGACTCCGTTCTTGGATGTACCTTACCAGTGCCTATTGCACAAGAATCTGGAGTACTAGTTTACTCTATAGACAGTACTTTCATCCTTAAACGATTTTATGTGTGTGTGAATCAATTGTCGTCTTTACTTTAAGTACAGTAGAAAACTTTTTATATTGCAAATGCCGTTCGTTCTTTTCTTCTATCTAGACAAGAAACTCATTGGAGAATTGTATAACGATAAGCACTACTTTTGATAAAAGATTAAAAATGATCTGATATAAGTTTTTTATCTCCCAAAACTTCAAAATATTAGTCATATGGGATGTCATTCTTTCACGGAATCTTTTGCAATTCCGTTCATTCAAAAATTGATGAATCACATAAAATAAAACGTGTAATTTCAATGATTCACATCCCAGGACGAGCTTTACGACGTCCGTATACGGTGAAATACGGGCCGTATACGGCCGTTTTCTGCCGTATACGACGGTAAATCGCCGTGTTTGGCCGTATTACATGGCTCCGTATTACGATCGTAAATCTCCGTGTCGTAATACGNCGGTAAATCGCCGTATTTGGCCGTATTACATGGCTCCGTATTACGATCGTAAATCTCCGTGTCGTAATACGGTGAAATACGATCAAAAACGACCGTAAAGCGCCGTATTTCGCCGTATACGACACGGAGATTTACGATCGTAATACGGAGCCATGTAATACGGCCAAATACGGCGATTTACCGTCGTATACGACCGTGTATGTTCGACCTGGGCATGTCTAAATTTCAGATAGAGAAATTTGCTCCGTTGACAGTAAGTCAATAATGAAAAATGCTAGTAACTATGTACCCTACTTGACAATTGCAACTTATTGTCTGAGAGCGACCTCTGCTTTCTTGCGAAATAATCTTCTATTGGTTAGTATCTGCCATATCATCCACAATTGAGTCATTAACTATAGCCTTCGTAGACGTCAGCATGTATATACACAAGAAAAGACGTTTTTCGAGTACCATCATACGTGTATTTATTGTTGTTCTCAATGAATCTTCATTAATTGTGATTTTTAAAGCGATATTGTTTAGATTTTTATTGTTCTCAATCGATAATTCTGTAGCACAAAACAAAAGATATTAAATTGAAAGAATGAAAATATTGGCGATATTTATTTTACACAAAGAAGGAGACAAAAAAGTGAAAATACTACAAGATGAATTTAATCTTGAAAGTTTTGGTTATTTTGAACGTAGAAGGTGAAATTCGTCTTTTTTTTTTAATCAAATCTATTAAAACTTTATGTGATTTTCCTTCGTTTTTCAGTGTACAACCACTACTTGTTTTCTCTGCACGAACAGTTACCGAACGTACTGCTTTAGGTACAAGGCAGTCAGTTGAAGCTGATGAAAATACTAATGGTAAAATTAAACAAAAGAATCCGTTTACTGCACAAGACAATTTTGTTTTTAGCTATGGTTCATGTTTATGTGCGTCCCGATGGTTTAGCATCAGTTATTGTTGCTGATAGTGAATATCCACAACGAGTTGCTCATACTCTTCTTACCAAAGTAAGAATTTCGTTTTTATATACATATATTTTGTGTTGCATTACATTCATTGATCTAAGGTTATGGATGATTTTACTAATTCATATCCACCATCTTCATGGGCAAATATAGGTGAACAGTAAGTGAGATTTAATCATTCAATGCTTGCTTTGCATGCCTATATTGATTTCATTTAGAACGGCTAAAATGGCATCACTGAGTGAATCTATAAAGAAATATCAAGTTAGATTATATTCATATTAAAATAATAAATTATTTTTTGAAATTTTAATTTAGAATCCGCACGAAGCTGATCCATTAATGCGTCTTCAAAAAGATCTTGATGATACAACAGATATTCTTGTATGTTTCTTAAATTATTTTTCCTTGAACAAGTTTGTTTGTTTTCTGTATAGAAAAGTACACTGGTCAATGTACTTGAACGTGGCGAAAAAATCGATGACTTAGTTGCACGATCAAGTGATCTAAGTTTCGAGGCAAAAGCTTTTTACAAAACGGTATGAAAATATTCTTTAGTTGTGCTTAATGTATTCATTTCTATTGATTCCTTTAGGCAAGAAAAACAAATCGATGTTGTACTTTATTCTAATCATTTATTTCCGTATTATCCTTATTTCATGCTAATTTCAACGTTCTCTTTTTGTATAAAATGCCAGGTGAAAAGTATAAACAAAAAAAAAATGGACTTTCTTTTTTTTCCACAAATGCTCATCATTCTGGTTTTAATCTAACTTGTGTTCGTTCGTACGTGTCTATCAGTGTACTTATTCTCTGTTGTGTGTGTGTGTGTGTGTTTGTGTGTGTATTTAAATCACAGAAAATATTATTGATGATCCGGAGAAAGAAAAAATAAAGAAAGAAATTTATGATGGATTGTTAATCTAGGCTGGTAAAGCCAAAATTTTTTCTTTTTTCGTCTTATTGTAATTTAACTATAGAAAAAAAAACTTGATTGAAATAAGTCTCAATAATTATAAAAGAAATTTTCATCTGAATATTTAGATTTGAATAAAAAACAAATGTCCAAGATTCCATTTTATTCAATACTTTTGCCAACTTATAATGAACGAGAGAATCTACCAATTGTTGTTGCTCTAATTGAAGAATATTTGAATGATAAACCACACGAAATAATCATTATTGATGATAATTCACCTGATGGTACACAACAGGTTGCTGTTGAATTACAACATCAACTAGGACCTGAACGAATCATACTTCGGCCACGTTCAGGTAAATTAGGTTTAGGATCAGCTTATGTTCATGGTTCTAAATTTGCGCGTGGCGATTTTATCATTATAATGGATGTCGATTTATCACATCATCCTCGATATATTCCATCATTTATTGAAAAACAACGTGAAGGTGATTATGATATAGTAACTGGTAGTCGATATTTACCTGGTGGTGGTGTTGCTGGCTGGAATCTGAAACGTAAAATAATATCATGTGGAGCCAATTATTTAACACAGCTTCTTCTTCGTCCACCAATATCTGATGTAACTGGTTCATTTCGTTTATATCGTAAATCTATATTTGACCAATTGATAAATGCATGCACTTCAAAAGGATATGTTTTTCAAATGGAAATGATTGTACGAGCTGTTAAAGCTAAATTACGTATTGCACAAGTACCAATTATATTTGTCGATCGACTTTATGGTGAATCTAAATTAGGAGGACAAGAAGTTGTTTTATTTGCTAAAGGTGTTCTTCAGCTAACATTTCTTGATTAGAATTTATTGTTTTCCTTTTTACACATCTAATGGATTTTATCGGTTCTTTTTAAAGAAACTCAAAATTATCATTAATAAAAATATTTAGAATTCCTTCTATGTTTTGTTTTTGCAATGGTGTGAAAATCAATTACTATAATAGACTTTATGTCTGTTACTATGAAATGTTTCAATTTGTAGTGGAAGTAACGATTTCTTTCCGAATATTTGTTTAGTTATTTATATTTTGAATATTGAATTTTTGTCATGCATTACTACACTCGGCTAGACCTATGTATTTTATGAAATCACCCGTAACTCAAAAATATAATTTCATCTAACACAATTTGTTTTAATTATGACGACATATTTTATTAATGAGGCTCGTTGAAAACCACTACCTTACGATAAATGTGTGACTGACACGGTCTTCTTATTACACATATATTATTTGTCATGAATATTATTTCCTGCAGAAAGAAAAAATTCTGATCGTATTTTTGTCAAAATCTTGCGCAAGTCTTTGAATGCTTGTTGCTTCTAAATGACGTCACTATTTTGTATAAAACTACATTACATGCGTGACATATTCCAATATTTACACGTTATATTCTAGATAATATGGCAGCAAAATATAATCAAAGCTCTACATCTGTGAGTTAGATCAGTGAATTAATAAAGTAATGCAATTTCTTCTTCATTTCTATCATAGAATCGAAATAGATCTAGTAATTCTTCGGCTAAACTCATTCAATTATCAAAGACGTTATCTTGGCTTCTACGTCATTCTGTAATAAAAGAAGGCTTACAATTTCAATCTGATGGCTACATATTCATAGATGATGTACTTCGACATCACTCATTTGCTAATAAATATACAATCGATGATATTCATCAATGTGTGGCGATAAATGAAAAGAAACGTTTTGGTCTTAAAATAGATGAAGCAACAGGAAAGGAAATGATTCGTGCCCATCAAGGTCATTCGTTAGAAGAAGCTAATGTAGAGATGAGAGAAATTGTAAATCCTGATGAATTTTCTACCATAATACACGGAACTTACACGAAACACTGGCCATCGATTATGGATAAAGTATGACAGGCAAACTGGTATTTTGAATTTTTCTATTCAAAATATGTAATTTTAGGGATTATCGAAAATGAATCGAACGCATATACATTTTGCTCCTGGACTACCGAAAGAGTCTGGTGTTACTAGCGGTCAGTAGAATCGTTCGAATTTTCATTTAAAGAATATTTTATTTATATACTAACAGGGATGCGAGGAAGTGCTAATTTGTATATTTATATCGATTTAGAAAAAGCATTGAAAGGTTAGCTTCAAAACTTTGAATTTCACTACTTTCTTTTTATTGGCTATTCATTTTATTTGCAGATGGTTTTAAATTCTTTGTATCTAGTAATAATGTTATACTTTGTCCGGGCGATGTAAACGGTTTCTTGCCAGTCCGTTATTTCCGTTCAGTTGAAAATCGTCGTGGTGAAAAACTTCCGATACCTATTGATTCATTTAAAACAAATGACTCAGCATGATTAATTTTTATTTGTTCTGTTGTTTACTCATTTTATGTAACTAACAAGAGTTCGAATGCAAGTAAAAGCTACCATTTTTATTTTCAAGAGATAGTACTTTTCACGAATACAACACAATGATATCGATACAGGATATTGCGTTACAGCAATATCAAAATTTAAGAAAAATAAATTATGCATGTTAATTTTTGTTAAAAAATATTCAGTATTAATTGATCTCAAACGAGATTTTTTAAAGTATTCAATAAAACTGTTTCCATAAATTGTGTGATCAAAGCTGAGCTTAACTTGCAATATAAATTTCAACGAATGGATTGGACGCCAGAAATTAAGCGCTAGTGCAAGAAAAGAATGTCTTGCTTCTTGATAGTTTTTCTCAATTCATAGCAATATTAATACTGATCTAATCTGATACAAATGTGACATAATGGACAGAAACAGATGACACTTTCTTATTCGTTTAATGTGCATTTCTTCTGCAATGATTTCTTTGAGACAGATAAAGCACTTGCAAATCTTCTTTAAAATTCATCCTTTTGATTGTACTCAAATAGCATGAGTTTGACTAAAATCAATCGATTCTGTTCCCAATTACCTTGAACACAAGCTTAAAAACAGTTTCACTTTTCTTTAGAATTTTAATAATATTAATCTATGGAAAATAATTATATTCTAGAAATCTGAGATATGACAGCCTTGACATGATTATAGAACGAGTTTTCTTCCATATAATTTCCTCTCATATTTTACAGTTATAATTAATTTTGTGCATACGATCTTACTGTCAAAATATAAGACACAATAGGCACTTTAAATATTCAGATAAAATTATATAAGCTGCTTCTGAGAGGAGAACATCGGAAAATCATGAAACTTATATAGGGCATTCCGCACCAAATAAAGCTGTGGGTTTTCCGGGTGTTTCCGATCTATTTCTTAATATTTCCAGCATGAAATAGCTGGAACGCATCATAAGAATGCTCAGACTTTTCAACAAGAAGTATCGCTTCCGCATTTCAATGGATTTTAAGTGTTTTTCTGTTCCATATGCCGAGTTTTCATACTGATTCAGGCAAGACTTACTTGATTTTAATGCCTGAAATAAATGATCAGGATAACTACAAGGACGAGTTAACAAAAACTCAGCATATTCAAGCACAATTTACTTGACAATTCACCGTTCAGTATTAATTGGTAATTTTTTTATTTTTAAATATAATCAATCACCCATTTTTTTAAAAAGTTGGCAAGGCTTTGCATAAAAATACCAATATCTTTCTGATTTACATAAGATTAACGTTTAGTTTCTTATCACGATGAAATTACGAAATATTTCCATGTAGCACAATTGATGAGTAAATGCAAAAATCGAACGTATAGCTCAATTGAAGAATGAATCAGTTTCTTTGGATTGTCTGTGACTCTATCTCAGCTAAACGCAATAATTACGAGTCAAATGTACTGATTTGCGTAATTCACGACTTACAAAGTAGTATTTGTTCTATATGCAAATATGTGTTAGAAACTAAGAAAATTTTTGTTGGCTAAGAGATACAATTTAGTAAATAGAGATAAGATAATGACATTATCAACCTACGAGAACAAGCTTTTTATTAATTGCTAATTAATTACTATTAATGATATCGATTTAGAACTGTAAAATGATCGACCTCAATTTTATCATCTCATCAGCGACGTACTATTTTTGGTTAATTGAAAGATTTTTCGGAAGCATCATAATTGCTTGGTGAAATTATAAAAAGTGAGAAAATTTTTTGTCAATACTTAAAAATGAATTTCTTATCAACTGAAATGATTTTAGTTAGTGCACGAGCAATATAGCAAGTAAGCATTATCTATATATTAATCAATAGATTATGTTAAAAAGAGAAATATTATTTTTTCGATAATATTCTATTTAATTTTACATCTGTTGTAAACAATTGTGGAGTTCTAGTTTTTTTCTTTGTTGTCAATATTTGATTGAAATTATTATAAGATAGTCATGACATAAGCAAAACTACAAATTCCACACCTCAACGGCTTACATTTCTTCCGTTAGACTATTTCATGACTGATAAATATCATTACGAATAGTGTTTAAGGCAAAGAAAATAGACGTTTTTTTAAAGTTTTGTATTTTGCATTAGATTCAAGTTGGCAAGTCTAATTAAACTGCTGAACATGAGATTTCTTTTATTGTAATGATTTGAGATCGGATGTTAACGAATAATTGAATTAACTATATTTAACATAACAACAACATTTTTCTTGTCATTCAAATGTGGACATAGTGATTTCTGTTTGGGTAACTATAGATACTTTTCTGAAATTTAATTTTATTGAGACATTTCAATTTATTTTAAATATAAATTTTTCAGAAAAACAAATACAATTCATGGTAACCCCAGCCAATCCCAATGTCATGACAACACATTCTGGATGATTAGTATCATATGAATAGTAGAACTTGAAAATCCTATTAACGTCGACGACGACGAATAACTTACTTTATTTTAACAAAACGCAATAGTCTTTCTAAGTAGAAAACAACAAATGCTTGAACCTGTAAACAATATGAAAGACAAAAATTTGTACCCAAATGCATTCGAACATTGAGCAAATATTAAACATGATTCCTGATTACATGTCATACGATTACATTGTAATAATGGATTTATATTAACAACGAATTGAAATGTTGGTACACAATTTTCATTAGCGTCTAAACAACAGTCACAAGTACATTCTTTTTGTTCACTTTGATTTGCCACGGATGTAATAGTTTGAAAAAGATCGATGAAAAATAATATAATAACGCTGGTTGATTGTATAACTTCCTATTCAACTTGATTAATGAGAGCGCCTTTGACAATTCGCTTGTTTTACTCATAAATAATAAATTATTTCTATTTAAAACTCGAGAAAAAGGTTATACCGAAACATTAAGACTATTTGTTCTCAAGCAATTTAACGTGAAGGCTTTAGAAACTTTTTTAATTGATCACAAGCCCTTATTTAAAATTAGCGTTCACTAACAAAATATCTCTCAAAATGTCTTAGATAGTTTATGACTATGCGATTTATATAAGAAATGCTTGTAATTCTATTACATAGAACCCTAGACAAAAAGATATTTATAAAGATCAAGAGAAAAAGCAAAAATTTCCTACATCGAGGGAATTCATGTCGCAGTTTTCTGCTTGGCAATAAATTCCAAATACTTCGTCGTACTTCAATATCAGTGAAGTAGAATCAAGTATTTAAATGGTATTGATAAACAACATTCAATACAATAAATTCTAACTAATATGTTTCGTAATATAAATTAACAGGTGACTTTAAATAGGGAAACAGTTTTGAAGGACAGACTTGAATAACACCTAGATTATAGTGAATTGTTAACGATTTTCTTTTCAATCCGTTATATCCATATGTACATGTCCCAATTTCATGTATACGGAAACAGTTTTTGTAGGTTTTTAGTGCGACATACGAATCCACACACAGGAATCTCTTTTTGCTTATTGATATTTGAATTTTGTTAGGTTTTGTTTGTTAATGCAAAATATACAACACATGAATACATGCGAAATTCTACTTGTGCTTACTTTCGAGTTGATATAATTTAATAAAATCTTTTGTGTCAAAACAAAATTTCGTTACTTGAGAGTGTAAAAAAGTGATTCCTACAAATATATTTTTTTCTTCGGTATGCCACTGTTTATATTTCTTTATCATGAATTATTCTTTGTCATATATTTGCTAGCAAACATTTATACATGTATCTAAACGTTATCAACCAATTGTCTTATCTACAATCTTATATCGAACAAAAGAATATGTACACGAAAATAATCGTTTTTTCTTACAAGTCCTTCGTTCTGAAGCTTTTCTTACTTGCACATGCGAAAGTACTTACATATTAACAAAGAAATTCCCCACACCCAAAACAAGATTTATATATTCTCCCTTGTGACGACAGCTTGCGTGTACTTGAGCACATTTCCATTCGTACTAATTTTGATATGCAACAGTCTTTGACATTTTCATATATATCATGCTTGATAATTTATGTGTATGTGCGAAGAGTACTGTCGCGTAGTTAGTTGTGTTCTTTTCTTTCTTAACCAGCTAGGACTAATCAAAATAATTCTCCAGGTGCGTCTATTCAAAAATTTATTTTTCAAATATTAACAACGAAATTTCGGTAAATTTCGTGTGTTTAGTTTAATTAAGTTCATTTCTAAATGACAGAAATCTTAACTAATATCTGTCATAGGAAATTTTCTTCATAATTATTTTCTCAATACGTTTGCCGGTTGAGAAACATTTAATAGATTCTTCATGTGATTCAAGTGATGTCAACAGTATTAAAAAAAGAAGTATTCGATCAATTCCAGGTTCTGTGAAAAACATTTCTTTGTCTCCATTCGTATTCACTTTTTTAATTTATTATTTAGTAGCTGTTGACTACTAAAGCATTCTTCTGTAGAATACATTTTCTAATCATATCTTTTTGCCAGTAAGAAAGAGACAGAGAAAAAAATAAAATCGTTTCTTTTCCTAACAATCAACATGCCAACAATGTTAATACTAATTGGATAAGGCAAAAAAGAAACAAACGAAAAACAAAATCAAGTGAATCTCAGTCGAAATATATACAGCGCTTGTTTTTTCTTTCATTATATTTTGGTGTTGAGGTATGTTACAAAAAAGTAGAGAAAACTAACATTGCACTCATTAGTATCATCGTAGTTATTGTGATGATTTAAGGCAAAGAAGAATACTATTTATGCTTTGCATTTTCTATGGCGGTCATTCATATTATCTTGTTATTCGTAGCGTCAGCCATAAATAAAAATACAGGATATAATAAGAATCTCTCGGTTATTGTTTTTCTTATTCTTACTATATCAGTCCTAATAAAGAAAACAATTTCTCATACACATCTTGAGTTGATGGCAACATTCTAGTATCATAGTTTTGTTTTTGCGAAGTTATTTCACTGCCCACAAAAGATTATGCGCTACGATGGATGACGATGTGTATGATGTAGTTTGACGTACTAACAAGTTGCCAAATGCCTGTTTGTCTGCCTAACAGAGAAAGAGAAGAAAAAAAGAGAAGGAGAGACGAATAAGAGTGTAACTACACCGATTGATTTTTTTCCCGGCTCAATATTATTATTTGTAACAAAAAAGCAGTAGAAGCGAGAAAAAAGCGCTAGCGCAATGAAGTGTTCGTCATTGATGATGCAGTAACTTCATCATTCATACCATAAAAAAAAAAAATAGGACACGAAACAAGAATGACACGAATATAATGGCAAGTACTGCGTTCTTTTATCTCTAAAAAAAAACAAAAGCGCTAAACAAACTTTGCCCTTTTACTTTCATAGTTGTTCATTTGATACTTTGCATACAAAATTAACTCTGAGAACATTGTTAAGAATCGGATCATCGTTGAAATCAACTCTTGTTATTTTTTTTTTATATGTCTATATATAGCTAAACGAGATTCTTTGATATTGTTATACTATATTGTACTACGTAGTTAATTCGATAATGGCTTATTCCTTTCTGGATAAAATCGAAAGATATAACATATGAATGATTAGTGATCCAATACAAAAACACAAAAGAATCGAAGAAAAAATATAAATACTACGATTCTTTGTCGGCAAGACAGTAATTAATTTTTCCAATGTAATTCACTTTTGAATAAAAACAAAATACGTCATCCCAACTAAACAAGATACCAACACATACAATTATACACATTGTTGGCATTATTATGTAAGACAATTATTATCAGAAGGTTAATTCAATGTTTATACTATTTTTCTTAAGAACTTGGCTTTGCATACATGAGTTTTTTATGAGTATGTCTCTGGTTAATAATATCTTAAATTAAGTGCCATGCGTGTTCAATATCTTCTTTATTTGATTGATCTATGAATACAAAAAAAAAACAGAATTGAGTTTATACGCAATCAAGATTAAAGCGTCCTTCTCTTTCATTCTTGTTACTAGCTCTTTCCTTCTTTTTATCGCTATTTACTGATCAATTATGGGTAGTTTTTTATTTTTTTCGTTTTTTCCTTCTACTACACGTATATCGTACAGGTGATGATATGCTCTTTCACGTCCCTGTTCTGTTCACTAGTTTACTTCAGCCTATAGGTAAAAGTATGCATGCATAAATAAATATACGTATACGAATACATACCAATCCGAACTGAATATATTACTCATCATTGCATCTTATTGTTTACAATATTTATATTTCTTCGAATTACATTTATCCTTGATCTACACACATATTCAAACGTTATCTCGATGTGCCAATCGATGCAATCTTATATTTGATTTTATTGCAATAGTATTATAAGAACTGTCAATGAAAATAACTAATGATTAGTTAATAAAATATGAAGAGAAAATTTTCAGCGTCAAAATAAATAACAAGAAAATACTTTCGATGGACCAAATTTGAAACTAGCCGAAAGAAGTAAGAAAACGAATGCATGAATAAAAGACAAGAAAAATATGGAACAGCAGTTCTTGGGTGAAAATACTCAGATTCTTTTCATCTGAAGAAAAGAGAAAGAGCCCTCATACAGCTAAAACGCATAAAAATATTTTTCTTCTCATCACACTGTTTTTCTTTCTATGCGATTATAGCTTATAGAATAATGTGTATTTGTCATTGGTGTTTCAAAAATATATGTCGGCATCATTTATTCACATTTTAATGTGCTGCTTTTTTAAATTGCTTAAAACAACATTTTCTGCGTCAACTAGCTAATCAGGTAGTTTGTTTTTTTTACCTTGAAAGGAAAATTATCATCTACTTCGACTTCAAACAATTTTTTGCTTTTTTTTTGCTTTTTATTGATACGTGTTCATACACGTGCAATATTGACTTCAGAACTATTCTATAGGCAAATACACTCACAAGTATATTTACGAAGTCATTTTTTATTTTTTATTATAGAAATCGTTATTGACAAATCTTTAATTCAAATATATATTTTTGCTTTAAATCCTAGTTCTACATGACCTTTGCCTGCTCTTATTTCTAGACTTAAACATAATGATAATAAAATGACACGCAATAAAACTGATCGAAATTATTCTTCATCTGCTTCGACAACAACCCATACAAGCTTTAATGATGATACTTTTGCTAATTTACCTGACCTTTCCAAGTTAAAAGATAGTGAAAAGCAACATATTTTAAATGTTTTGGGACGCGATGAAAATCTACGCAGCAAACATTTATCGCGTTTTATGTACGTAAATTATGAGATATTTATATATTACAATATATTCTTATGATTTAGGCAATTAAGAAAAGAAGTCAATGAACTTGAACAACAAACTCAGTCAAAATCTTCATCTGCATGTGCTCGATGTCACACAGAATTCGGTTTCCTATTTAATACTGGTGCTATGTGTCCAAAATGTAGTGAGAGAGTTTGCAAGCAATGTAGACTTTTGTACAATGCCAATGATAGTGAATGGTTATGTCAATTGTGCTGTAAACAAATGTAGGCTACTAAAAACGAAAAAGATATTCCGACGCCGGGAATCGAACCCGGGCCTCCTGCGTGAAAGGCAGAAATCCTAACCACTAGACCACGTCGGACATGTCTATATGTTCAATAGAGAATTTTTTTGATAATAATACTGATGCTATTGTTTTTAGGCAATTATTGAGCTATTCTGGCGAATGGATATATAGTAGTCGAAGTAATCTTCGTAAAGATTCATTAACAGCATCAGAAATCGTACGCAAATCGCTGGTACCCTCAGTTTCCATTTCAAGTTAGATTTCTACATTGGTTTATTCTAATGAAATTTAGTATTGTTTTTTGTTTTTAATTTTAATTTTAATAGATCTACATGAAATATCGAGTTCGGATACTGAAACTGAAGATGCTATTGATTTATCTAGTAAAAGAAACTCATCGGATCAACCAAATAAACCTAATCGAACAACTCTAAATAATACAATTGACCGAATGATTGTTCCAACTATAACAGACGAAGAAAAATTGAAATCGCTCAAACGAAATGCCCAAAAACGCTCCGTTACTGTTTCACCAACTCGACATATATCTCAACCACCTCGTGAATATATATCTACAAATACAATACGAGCTGGTTCATCAGACGATTTAGATTCATTATTTGATCAATCAATAAATTATACAGATCGTACATCTTCATCTAGTGCCTTTTTGAATGCAAACGATAAATATAGAGACATAAGTTCATCAACACCAAAACGAATTCTTTCATTATCAAAATTAAACAATCAAAACGATGAAATCAACAATAATCATATTAAAAGACGACCAGTAGATTGTGAATCTGTTACATCATCCGAATGGGGCGCAGACTCAGAAAGAGGTGAATCCATTGTACAACAACCGGAAACTTCAAAAACGCGTAAATAAAGACAATAAAAATAAAAATATCCTCTTATATTATTTTCTAGATGGTTCAAAGCAAAGTTTATCATCGCGAATGCATCTTGGTGGTTCGATTCAAAGTTTACGCGATGTTGTAAATCGTATTCAAAAGCATCATCTATCGGCATCACATAGATCAATAAATTCTCAAAAGAAACCTACATCTGATGTCCTAGATACAGTATCTTTATTAAAACAGGATGAACAAAAGTCTTACTCAGAACTATCAGATACAACATCTCTAAAAGTACCTGACGAACAAAATAAATCAAGTATGTATCCGACGTGGTCTAGTGGTTAGGATTTCTGCCTTTCACGCAGGAGGCCCGGGTTCGATTCCCGGCGTCGGAATGCCTTTTTTTTCATTTATTTCTCTATGAAAGATATTTTTTGCTTTGCGCCTAATGACATATCGATTAGGTATATTTAATAGACATTCTGAGTATTATCAGAACTACATACATGCAAAATAATGTATCGTATATTAACCATCTTTGGTCAATATTATTCAAGTTGCCAATATAGATTTTGTATCATTTTTTTGCTTATTAGAAAATATTTTACCGTAACTGATTGAATATGATTTTGCTTTTCGATATACATAATGATAAAAATAGAACATATATTGGTGTTACCTAAATAGTAGTTATCAATATTCAAAAAAAAAGAAAAAACTTCAAACGATTTATCCATCGTCGTTATTATAATATATAAATCATCAAGTTCATAAATACAAATATCTTCACCCCGCCGGATATTAATACTACATAAAAAGAAACAGCAACAAAAAAGAACATTTTTGACAAAGCAATATTTTGTTAAAAAAAGCAAGTGGAAACGTGTCTATAATATGTTGTATATTGATCACACCGATGATAGGTGCTATGTGAATCATATGTTACGCTTGAATGAAGCTCGCTGAAGTGATAGCAATTACGCTTCTATAATGCATATGATGTGAGCAAAAATTCCGTCATTATTTATTACATAAAAAACAGCAACCATAAAAAGAGATTCTAACTGTTTATTAGACATATTTTCATATATTCATGAGAAGCATTGACACGTTCCTATTGAAGCATCATGGCGGAATTTTATTACCATAAAAATGAACAACAAACTAAATTTTCCAATCAATCAACACCAGAACTATCGTCTGTTCATACAAAAAAAAATAAGAATTCTCCGCCTATGAAGAAAAATTTAACTGATGATGACAATAATAATGAAATGCATAAAACTACCTCAACAACTCAAGCTGTTCCATATCGCGGATCAAAAACATCAGATCAACAACAGGCGACATATAATCAAGTTTCCCGCACATTGGTTGATCAACTGTCATTAACAGAATCGTCAAATATGAATATTATTGTCAATCAGTCCAATCAAACGCTATCAAGTTGCACTGATAAGAATAGTAATAAAGATGAATTATCAACAATTAATGACGAGCCAAAAAACTCAATAACAAAACTAATAAAAAGAAATAAGCCAATAACCAAACCTAATTTACGTCGACAAGCTAATATAAAAGACAATTCAATATTAAATGAACCATCGAATGCTCAAATATCGGTAAATCATTACAAAACTAAATCTGATAAAGCCAAAATACCAATTAAAAGAACTGAAAAAACAATACCTATTTTCATTCCACCAAAAAAGTCATCAACATCATTATATCCTTTTTCTGCCTCTCCATTAGATGATTCACTTCAAAATAGACAAAAATCTTGTTTCAAACAACCAAATAAATTTGCTGAAAATAATAATTCGCTATCAAATACAAATTGGACAGAAGCTCTATCAACAAATCTATTACGTACTCGTATGCAATCATTGGGTAGTTCATATGATGAAAATTCAACTGATGAAAGTGATGATGAAAGTTTATTCATACGACATTCAAAATCTAAAATCATAGATCAACAAGTCAATTCCTTTATGCTACTGAATATCAATATTCCATCCGCCATATTCATTACTGATCCATATGGACATTCATATAAATTTAATCCAGATACTGATACACAAGAAATCTATGATTGTGAAGAACAAAGTTTTGATAACGATTCGAAATTAACTGTTATAAGTTCATTGAGCTCAAATAATTCATATGATACTTGTTCACCATCCGAAATTGTAAGCAATACATCAATAGCATTACCGTCTCTCGAAAAGCATAGATTACATAGTATTGGCGAAGAAGAAGAAGATGGTGATCAAAATTCTTCGAAAGAATTTAATCGTAATGAAGTATCGAATCGAGCACGTGAAACAACATCAAACAAAGAAAAAAATAAAGATGATAGTGATGCAACGAAGGTTGACACTGATAAAGATTTGCTTGGCAGACGTTGGAGCGATGGAAATACTGACGATGAAAAATTACAAATTACAACATCAATAGTAAAAGCATCATGTTCAACCTCCATAGCAAAAGCACCAAGTGCAACATCTATAACGAAACAAACAGTAAATTCACCAGTTAAATTATCTTTAAAAAAATATCTTCTTATGAAATTACATTTGGCATCATCAAGTAAAGATGATGAGTCGAATATGCCATCGCAAACAATAAATCCACCAAAAAGGCGTCTAGTACGCCGTGCAGCGGACAAAACACGTTATCAAACTCATTAAAACATTCTCGCCTCGTCCCTCGCTCTCTGCTTGTTGTATTTTATTCCCTTTAGCAATATAAATTGACTTTTTCAGTTTTTTTTCTATTCTAAATTTTTGTGATGTACATTTATTTAGATTCTCGCACAAAACTATCAACAATTTCACATTCTAAGTCAAATAATAGTATTCATGAATCTTCAAGCACTCTCACAGCAAAAGAACCTATGCAAACAGAAGAATCAATCAATGATAGTACTCAATCAACAAATAATGCTTACCGTTACAGTAAAAATAATAATAATAAACCAACCAAAGGAGGAACACTTGGAAGTGTTGGAAATCTTGATACAATTGATAGCAATGATGATGATGATAATGATGATGATGATGATATTGATGGGAAATTTGAAAAAGCTAAATTAGTAAGTTCATAAAACAAAGAAATATTTGAGAATCATTTTTCAATAATCAATGATTAAATTCGTAAAATCATGAAACATGTTAAACTCTAGGGCTTAGGTAATCGTACAGCGTCCTGTATGGATATACGTGTAAGTTTGTACTGCATACTTACTTCGCCTTTTGATGCTTTTTAATACTCATGAAAATGATTTCTTTTTCGTTTTTTAATTTTTTCTCTATAAAACGTCTTGATTTTAGGGTTCACAAACAAGTATAAATAGTGCATTCAGCGAAAAAAAAGCTCGGTATGATCTCGACATATCTGGTACTATTGAACTAAAATTAACATATGCACTAACAACAGGTGCATTAGATGTTACAATACAAAAATGTTCAAATTTAGCTAAAGCAAAAAGAGGCCAATCTTCTGATCCGTATGGAGTTGATTTTGCATCTATAAATTAATCATTCATAATAATGCTATATTTTATTTAGTTACGTTAAACTTTATTTACTACCTGATCGATCAAAAAATGGAAAACGTAGAACATTAAGCAAAAAGAATACTGTTGATCCAGTTTATAACCAAAAATTTCGTGTAAGATTTTTTATTTACTTTTTTTTTTTTTTTTATAATAGAATTTTCAAAGAATATGATTTATTTTCATAAATAGTATCATGCAACTAAACAAGAATTAGAAACTCGTGTCTTATGGATATCAGTATGGAGTGAATCAATACTCGGACTAAATACTTTTCTCGGCGAAATAAATTTGCCATTGACTGGCTGTACGTTTGATAGAAGTGAAGAATATCCATTATTAGCACAAAAAAAGAAAAATGATGTAAAATTCTTTCGTTGTTATAACAGTACATTTATTTTATATTGCTTTGTATATAGTTAAAACCAATGCTGGAGCCAACATTGGATCCTGGTGAAATTACATTTCAACTAACATTTATAGAAAATCAAAGAAGTAAAGACATTGGAACATTACAAATACATTACATACAAGCAAAAGCAATTTTTTTTGGTAAAAATTTGCCTGACGTGTTTTGCAAAGGGTAAAAGCTTACTGTTTTTTTTCACATTATTTTTACTTTAAAAATCTATTTAATTTAAGTTTACTAATGCCTGATAAAATTAAAAAAAAGATTCCAGGAACACGCAAAGGTCCAACACCTAAATGGGATGTGCCTCTACGATGGGATGGTGTACGTCTTGATAATCTAGAAAATTCATCTATCGAAATAAGTGTTTGGTGTCAAGAGAGCTTTCGAAAACATATGTTTGGTTTCGTACGTCTTAATCTTTCCGCAGGGCATTTTGCAAATAAAGCAGTTGACTGGTTGGATGCAACAAAATTTGAAAAGACAGCTTGGGAAAGATTTATTGATAGACCAACAATCCTACATACTATTACACTTCCATTACGACCCCCAACGACTCGGTCTAAGTAATCTGCTGAACGTTCATAACCAGTGCTTTATTATTATAATGACTAGTACCGAAAGTGGACATATCGGTTAAGGATCTCAAAAACAAAAGAATATTCTATTTGTTCTCCTTTTTTTATGTGCTTATCATTCAAGAAGGTGCTCTCATTTTTTTGTAAAGAATAATATAAACGTTTCTCTAGTTTAAATTGTCCGAAAACTTCGCTATCTATTGAACTTACTCTTGTTGTTATTCATAAGTTATTTTTACACTACTATTGCTATCATTGATGAGCTTGTAAGCTTGATTATCTAAAATGAAAGAAAAAAAAAAGCTTTATACTTACTCGATAAATAAGGTTTTTTTGTGGCTATACTATTATTTGTTGTATTTTATATCGAGTCTCTTGATTATGCTGTTAGTAATCATTAGAATAACGCATGTCTAGTTTTATACTGATATTTGAGTGCAAATCGGATGTGATGTAAAGAAACCTCTTTACTTGTGCTCAAAGAATGAAAAGCATCATATCTTTGTAAAGAAGCTCTAAATTTGATTTTGAATCTATGTAGTATGATCTGATCTACTGCGACGATATAGAGAAATGATTTTGATTCAAGAGCAAACAATTAAACAAAAATTTCTACATTTTCTTGATGTGTAATTATATTTTGCGCAATGAATACAGTGTGAAGTTCTCACATTTTCTTTTCTATCACATATGTTGCATAAAAACGCACGAAATCATTCAAAAGCTTAAAAAATAGTGACGATCAGTTCAACAATTAATCGCATCACAATCGATTCTCTTTCATGATTAAAATTAAATAGAAGGTGCCCGCATGATCTACTTTCTAGCGACATCTTTCAATCATATTTATTTGCTTTATAATAATTTTCAACAGTCAAAATAATTTTAATTTTTTATTATATTTTAGCGTACTAATTCATGTACTGAAATAGTATTGGCTAAGATTCTAATTTGACATGACTCATGAGTGAGACACTATCTATATCTATAGTTTCAAATGATTAATTCAGATACTACATATTTTCTGTTTTCTTTGACTAATATTTTATACTGTCACGATCTTTGCAACTATCTAATTTGGTAGATTTTACTTTTACGTGTAATTAAATCATCGATTATATTGGTTGACCATGGAAAAACTGAAAGAATTATTCCATACAAAGACGCCAAAAGAAATAATGCAAGAAAATAAACGAGCGATTCGAAGTGCTAGACGTGAACTTGAACGTGAAAAAAATCGTTTAAATAACGAGAAAACACGAAATGAGAATGAAATTCGTAAATTGGCAGCTAAAGGCGAACAGGTAAATTTTTATTGAAATTGACATTATTAATCATTTCAAGTTGTTTTATCAATTAGAAAGCCTTGCGGTCATATGCCAAAAATATTGTTAGTCAGAGAAATCAAATAAATAAATTAGGTACTATGGATGCAACATTGTCAACACTTGAATCGGAAGCATCGTCAATGAATGCTCAAATGACTTTAGCTAATGTAATGGTTAAAACAACAAAAACATTAGCAAGATTAAATCGAATGGTTAGTTTTTATAGTTTTATTTCTCTTTAATATTGAATTTTTCAATATTTCTTTATTCAGATGCCATTACAAGATTTTCAAAAAACCATGCAAATGTTTCAGCAAAATATGACTGCTAATGAAATAAAACAAGAGTTAATCCGTGATGCTATGGATGGTGCATTTGAAGGAGATGAAGATGAAGAAGAAACGTAAGAAGAAAAAATGTCAAAAAGAAATATTCTATTTAATCTGCATTGATATTTTTAGTGATCAACTTGTCGATCAAGTACTCAATGAACTTAATATCAATGTTGCTAATCAAATACCTGGTAAGTTATATCATATAATATAGTACAGAACTGATTGATTGATTTTTGTTGTAGCCGCACAAAATGGCGCCTTAACAGGTCGTGTAGCTAATCCTGGTCAAGGACAACAAGCACAAGCAATATCAACTGCTGATGCTGATTTAGAAGCCCGTTTAGATGCTTTACGACGAAATTAAGTGATTATTATTTGTATAGACCATTATTCTTATTAAGACTCTAATGTACCGTCACTTTGTCGTTAATTTTCCTTTAGCCAGTTTACTTATTTTGTTGTTCTTTTGTCTATTATATATATATATATATATATATATAAATATACATATGAGATTTTTCTTGTCTATAATTCTACTCTATTAAAAAGAAAAAAAAGCGATATAAATATATGTGTAATGTATCTGAATTTTTTTCTTGTATGAAATCTAAGTAGATATCATTAACATGAATAATCGAAACATAATTGTCATTAAAATAATATCTGTCAATAGCGCGAATGGTACATGTAAAAATGAAATGTTTCATATTGATGAAGTTTTAATTGTCATTGACTTGTGTGTTACGTTGGGTTATTCAAGAAATATGATGATTGAAGGGAAAAACCTGCATGGTTACATGTGTAAAGATATTTGTCTTTATTGATGTTTGTTAACGTACTAACTAGACAAAGGGAAGAATTTTATTGAAATAGAAAAGTGTCTTTAGTTTCAGTTTGCCATCATATAGTATTGAAATTATATTGTTTCTTTTAGTTTTTCAGAGAAAAATTACCAACGATACGACTATGGTAGTTGTGATGATTAAAATAATCACTGGTTTATTTGATGTGACTATTTGAATAGTTATAATGAACCCATTCAACGAGAAAATGTCTCTCTCTACTACGCAATGATACCTATGTTTCTGATGAATTAGGAATATAAATGATTTATGTACGATTCGATTGCTCTATACTAAAAGAGCGTAATGCGAGCTCATTTTTCAAGATAAAATATATAGTTGATGAATAAGTAAGAATAAGACTTTATTGATACCAATGTGAATTTAAAAGTAGGAATGCAAGTTGTATTAGAAGATTGGAAAAGGCTAAAATTTTCATTATTATTGAAATATCTAAGCATCGAAAAATATTCATTTCAACTGTCGAGACAGAATATCTTGAGAGAGAACACTTATTATAATGATCTTTACACTATTTATTAACGTCATTTTTCAGTATAATCATAACATTTTATGCTACTTTATAAAAAGCAAGAGTGAAATTTACAAGAAACTGTTTTATTATCTTTCACTGTAAATCTAGTCAAACGAATGAATTAATCATCTTGATTTACATTTGAAACATCTTGTTAATAGATAGTTATCATAGAGATATTAACTTTACATGATAAGACATGTTTCTCACTGTTCATAGTAAAAATAAAAAAGAAGATAGATGAGTGTTGGAATTGGACGTACTTTATAATGTAATATTCGAAATTGGACATTCAGAAATTGCAAAGAAAATAATACATAAATGATTCTCTTAGCATTATCTGTATTGTCTATTTTTTCTAAATAGAAATTCTATGTAAGGTCTTGATCTTTGCAAATTAGTCAGAATAACCATATTACTAGTATCTATTTAATTTACTTAGGGACAGAGATAGATTCAATATTTTTAATAAGTTTATATAGACTATCAATCATTCATAATAGGTAAATCAGTACTCATCAATCAAAGAATAACAAAATAAAAAATCTTTATTTAAAAATACGAATGTTTGTTAGTATTATCAATTACAAGTTATAAAAATACTTGTTTCCGCAGTACTCATAATTGGATTGTATCTTATACTATTTCTTTATGTAATTGAATTAGATAATTATCTTAATTTATCAGATAGAATCAATAGTCTTGATGAGAATTCAAAAAGTAATTTCAGTGTTAATCATTGTTTCAACTATGAGCACTTTGTTTTATAGAATCTTAAAAATAAATACCTTTTAAGAAAGAAAGAATATAGAAAACGAGAAGTTCAGCATAAAAATTGTTCTACAGTATAGCCGGTACTGTATTGTTTAATGAACTTGCTTTATTATCCGATTTTTTCGCTGATGGTGGATCTTCTTCAGCTGCCTGTTCAAGTACTGAACCAAATAACTGCAATCGTTTATTTCCACTATCGGCAACAATAATTGTTCCATCAATTGTGATATCTAAACCACATGGGCGTTTTAATTCGCCTGGTTCACTACCTTCCATGCCAAAATGTGTTATATAAGTACCTTCAGGTGTACATATAACAATACGATGATGACCTGTGTCCGATATAAAAATTCGATCTTCTGAATCTATAGCTATGCCTGAAGCACCGCGAAGACCTAATCCATCATTATCAACAATAGTAAAGCATTCAACATATGTGGGTCTATAGAAGTATATATTTATATAAATATCTATGTTTGATTGAAAACAAGAAAAAAAACCTTTCTTACCCTTCAGCATATTTCGAAACAAAGCATAAAGATTCACCTTTACCAGTAAGACAAGCAATATGTTCTCCAATTTGTTGATGAGCAACTTGTATGGGAGCTATATTATTCTCTTTTGGATCATGTGAACGTAATTCAATAACTCGTTCACATATTCCTTCTGGTCGTAGAACTTTGATACAGTAATTTCCTCGATCGCATACATATAGATAACCATCAGTATAATCAACAGCAATACCAGCTGGAAAATGAAATTGATTTACACTATGGCCAGGTGAACCTAGTTTGTATTGCTGAAAATTATATTCATCTGTGAAAGTTTTATTTTGTTCACTAGTTTGATTTTCTTGTAAATCAACAGGCAAATACATATGAAGGCGATGATTAAAATGACTTGCAAGTATTATTGTTCCATCATATGCAACAGCAATAGCTGTTGGCTGAAATTTCGTTGTTGCTGAATCATTAATAGTATGTTGAAGTTTTCCATACATATCAAATATTTCCACAACACTTCGACCAACATCGCATGAATATATTGTGTAACTTTCATGATGAAGACATACATCAATTGGTTGTGTTTGACTTGTTATTTGTAGAGATATTATCTGTGTGCGTTCTTTATTTGAATAACGTTCATTTAAAGCTAATTCTTCACTTGTTAATTCGTGTGGTAATTGATCTGCCTCTACTAATTGTGGTGCTTCATCATTTTCTACTACTTCTTCTTCTTCTTCAACATATTTTTCTTCATATTCAGTTTCATAGACTTCAACTGGAGCAGCTGGTTTTGGAGTATAGAACATACTTAAAACTGGAAACCGTTGAACAAGACGTTCGAGTGTTGCCTAAATATAATTTCTATCTATCTCTATATATTAATATGCAAGATAAAAGCTACGTACACCGAATCCTTTCTTTTTAGACGATGGATCTTCATAATATTCATTATAATAACCACTGGTTACGATTCCTGCTTCATAATTTTGGCCTATGGAAAATAGAGCGAAATAAGAAAAAAAAACAAGCAAACGAAACGGATGTGGCAGAATATCTGTCAGAATAATTTTCAGTACTTTGCAATTTTTGTTCTGCCTTTTGTTCAAGTACTGTTGGTTTTATTGCTTGTTGCAGAGGTTTATGAATAATTTGATTTGATAATGATGGTTTTTTAATATCTTCATCAAATGGATTTGTTGATCGAAATGGAATTTTCGGTGCAGTATTCATATGATTTAGTTTTTCATAAACATCTGGTTTTGACTTTGGTTCAATTGATGTATTTACTGAATTAGGTTCTGTTTTTAAAACACTTTCATATTCATGGCCAAGAAGATCATCATCATTGTTGCTCGAAACACTCCTTTGTATTTTTGCTGACATATTAACTAGAAACTTCAATTATTTATATGAAACAACTAAATATTTTACCATATATAGGCTCGTCTGATTTATCATTTGTTTGTTTTAATGGATCGAATTCATCGGCCATAACTACCGTAAATTGCACTCTAATCGAAAATGACGACAAATATACATTTATGTACATATATATACATATATACTTTTATATAATATAGCAATATCATGCTTGTATAATGACTCATTCTATGTGAACAGATATTTCATATTCGTGCACATCGTGTTTTATCGACACACCTGAGCAAACACATTTTTCTCCTCATCGAAGGCAAAAGAAAATCGAAAGTTAATATTTATTACTACACTCCACTCCGTAGGCGTTTTTCAGAAGATCAAAATATAAATGTACGGGCCGAACCCATCAACAGCAGTTTCTGATGTATGGACTCGAGCTGCCGCTGCAAATCCAGGACCAATTCCTCTTGGTAGTGGCAGTGGTGGTCCAACACGTTTACCAACTGTAACTAATTCAAATTTACCACTAAATGCAACATCTGGACTAAACAACCGACCTCCACCGATTCCACAAACGCCGCGTACACCTTTTCCTTCAATTCAACAACCGTTTGGTCAAAATAATAGTCTAATATCGAATAACTATGCTACAGCTAATAGTGCACCATCGTTTAATCAAACGTCCATGAATTTAGTATGTAATTTATTTAAAAAAAAACCATAATGATTAATTTCTTTTTTAACACGATTAAAAGGCACAAAATCAAAATCAAAATAGTCAATATGAAGCTTATCAACGACGATTGATGCAACTTGAAGGTGAAAATGAAGATCGAAGAGCAGCTGTAAAAACACAAAAAAAAACATTTATTTATAATTAATGCTAAATGTATACTGTATATGTTTGATATAGACAATGAATCTTGCACAAATGGGTACCCAATTATTACAAGGTCAGATGGATGTTCAAGAACAAGTTTTACAATATCAATTTGTATAATAATGATTGATTTTTTCTTTTTTTCTTTTTGAATTTATATTGGTCAAAATTATTTTATAGATGTTAGAACAATGTATGGAAACGCTTGATCATCAAAATTTTATTCTAAACGAACAAGCTGAAGAATTAGCATTATTTCGAGCTAAAATGAGACATTTTGAATATCTAATGGATGCATTGAAACTTAGCAAAGGTACCATCGAACTTTTATAGAAAACAAAAAAAATTACTAATTGTCTGTCCGTGGTTTTTTTTAAAGAAGGAAATAGTCTTGCAGAAAATCTGTCTCGAGATTTGACTAACAATCAATTATGTTGTCGAGAGCCATTGTAAGTAGAAATAGAGTGGATTCGAATAATGATTTTGTTCTTTGATATTTTTGCTTAAGATCATTACCAGCCCCATCGACATCTCCTTTTTTTGCCGGTGGCCCGACGCGTATTACAGCTTCAACATTTCAGCCATTTAATCCTCGATATCGATCACCAAATGCTCGTGCAGTAGCAGCTGAAAATTTAAATAGACGTCGAAGTGTAACTCCAACAACTGCTAATCGTAATCTTCCTAATTCTAATGGAAGACCTACTCGTCGTTTCGGTAACAATAATAACAATAATTAATGGCACTAATTTTATTTAAAGTAAAAAATCACAAAAAAAGGCAAAAGTTGTGTATCAAAATAATCTATACTATATTTTATTGCTACTTTAAAATTAACTCAGAAATAGAATAAAAACAAAAGTTCAATTCCCTGAATAGATTTTTTACCAATCGGATAGTTTAAACTTTTGTTGAAATAGGATTTATTGATAGTATAGTATCTTGATGGCTGTTTGTACGATCATAGATTATATCAGTTGTAACATTATCATTACTTTTCAATCTTTGTCGCTTTATTAAACGATTTAAATATCTAAAATGTACTACTGTTATGATATTTCTGTTGTCGTATAATACATAACATTAAACAGATAATTATAATTAATACAGGTGATCATATCGAAAGGTAATTTTCTTAACGATAAAATATCGTAAATCGATTTCTTTGTTTTGCTATTTGTTGTTGATAAAAATATGAAACATTGTAATGTTTACCATAAAATCTGTAATCGTATGCATTTTTTTATAAGAATCAATACGAAGAATATTTCGACCAAGATGGGTGTGGGAGTAGAGTGGCGATACACACCCTCACCCTCAAGATTGACAATACGGAGGATAAGAATTATCTTTGATTAAATGCTTCTTGGTAGGATCACTTGGATTACTGACTTGTTTGAATGATCAATACGCGAATGAACCTTCTATGAGAAAAAATTATTCATCATTGAGCCTCATTTTGTTCACAAAATAATGGATACAATTTATTTTTATCAGTCGCTTTTAAAAAAGTTTCAGATTTAACCGCATCATCGAACCAAAAATTTTATTGAAAAATTGAATAAAGCTTACCTATTTGATTTGACTAGTTTATTTTCAAATGGCAGATCCTTGCCAATCAGTGTCAATACACGAGACATATTTATATTGTCTAACAAAGGAAATTTTCGAAAAGCACATCTATTCTTTATGATATCATTTATATGTAACGGGCGTACCACCATACTATGGTTCATCTATTTCTTCACGACCAATCGATTCCAAGAAATATTGAATTGGTTTGTTACTTGCTCATTTCTTCATTGTTGAAATAGTAAAATTTTGAAAATTTACAATATCATATTAGCAAGACTCTTGCAATCAAAAATAGAGGCCAACAGGAAGATAGCAAAATACAAAGTTTATAGATTTTATAGTTTCTTAAACAGATTCTCAGTTATTGGTAGCCGAATTGAATGCAGTTTATTTTTACAGTTAGCATGCCGTCAACGTGGTTTGAACGTAGGTAGTAATGCTCCTAAGATCAGATGCTAATGTATTGGTCACAAAAACGTCAACAGCAACTTTATGCAGATATTACCTAACTTCTTAACAGTATTGATAAGTGTGGATAGAAAAGATTTGTCGGATTCTTTTCGATCTATGTATTGGAACCAACCGATTTTGTTTTTCAAAACAAATGTAACAATCTAAGACGATCGATTTAGAACGAAAATATAGAATATGTAGTACGTATAAGAATGTAAGACGAACAAATGTCTTTCTATACACAATGATCTTTATACAATCTATTCTTATTCTCGAATATATTATAGAGATTTCGAAGTAGTTGTTTATAGGAATGTTTCATAGTCAAAAAAGAACCACACGAGTTTAACACAAGATCCATATATTTGTCTATCCAGTATTTAAACTAAATAAATGATGATGTAAAACTGGTAAATTATATAAATCCGATAGCTCTTTTTCATCAAACTTTCCCCAAGATATGTTTCCCTCTATGCACAGATGAATCGATAGCGAACAAACACTAATATTTACATAAAATTTGTCAATCGAGATATGACATATAACATCCCAGATTCAGGCAAGAATCTTACTTTGACTACATGATTAAGACAGATTGGAGCTCTTCGATCAAGAAAAATAAGAATTTGAATTGAATGAATCCTAACACATGAATTTATGTAGTATACGAAAATGGTAGCACGTTTTACTTTTCACTGATAAATCAACTCGGCATTTATTTTTGAAGAAGAATTCTTAAAGAGTCCAATAATCTGCCAATGATTACGTTGATCCCACAGTTAAGGTCCCATCGGCAGAGATGTAAAATAAATCATCGCTCTTTTTATTGCGTCTTCAACTTCCTGTTTGTCTACTGATCCATATAGTCTTAAAAATATTGTTTTTTTGTTGCATGAAATATTTTTGCCCAAAAACTATCTGGATTCAAGAAAAAATAATGAAATCGCCAAATATTACAACTGACACCGATCATTTTCTAAACATGTACAATGAAATACTTATACAACGATGTTTACGATATCATTTGTATTGGTTGACAGTTTACTCTAAAAATGAATGACATTTCTGATGATTTACAAAACTTTGCACGATCGATTTCATTATCAAGAAAATGTTTTTTCTTCCAATCAAGATTTTTATTCCGAATCTTAATTCTTTTTGGATTACGGCTATGTTAAGAAGCGAAGTTTCAGCATCATTCTCTTCATTTAATTGAACATTACACAGCGACAGACAAATCACTTGTTAAGTTGGTTTTTCTGATTATATTTTTTTCTTGTCTGTTTTTTTTCGAATGAATAAATTACTGGCGAATATAAAGAGTGGGAAATCAAAAGCAATTCCATAGGCATGACGCAAACAGAAAAAATATTGCGAGACTGTCACAAATCAAACTGAAGTGCATTCTGCTGTTTATTGTGATGATATTAGATCTTGTACAGATGATCTTAAAAATTCGACGCACTAAATTTGTCACTCATACCTTCCATATTTGAGGTAGGCATCGTCTCAGAGAAGCAGCACTTCCTCAAAAAATGATAATTATTCACTATTCAAAACGCAATTTTCTCATCATAATTTCAGTGAACACCATAGTTTTGCCACCCATTTCATTTTCTTTTGTACAATTATTATTAATGTGTGAAAAGCAGTTTGCTCATGAGGATGAAGCGATGGAGAAAAGACAAGGCTCTATTAGCGTGCATTCTTGTGATCTCGCATTCCGCCACCCTCGCAAAATGATCATTGACTTTACCATATGGTTATGTTTGTAAAGTATCAATAACTGCAAACTTTTGAAAGTTATATAACAGTAATTAATGCAAGGGGGAAAAAACTCATTCCGAGCCATTCGAATGGCTAGGAATGGATAGGAATGGATCGGAATGGCTAGGAATGGCTTTCAATTAATCGCTATGAATTAGTGTCTTGACGTAGTTCAAACTATACAAACACTTTAAAATTCATTAGAAACATGATTATCGCTATTGTCAAAGTGCTCTGACTAAAGGAAGCCTGTTGAAAATAGTATAATCATTTCCCAATATGTATCAGACTTTATTCATTTTCATCACATTATGTAGTTACTGGCACACATAAACATTTGTCATATTCATAATTACAAGTAATTACTAACAACGAGATTCATCATTATTATATTGATAAAATAATATTTTAATAGAATCAATTCACGACGGAGTCTCCCAAGCTCACCCCCACAGACTTCAATGGATCTTTGCCCATCGATACTGCACGGTGTTCTCTATTGAAAACATTGCACTATTTTCAGTGCGTAGTGCTTTTTTCAAAAGGTATACGCATTTTTTATATTTTTTTCCTTTCC